CTGATGGGGACAGATAAGGGAGGGACAAGGGGAGGGCAAAGCCGACTTTGGTGGCCTTGCCCTGGCAGAGCTGGCGGCTGCTCCTTGGTGGCTCCTGAGAAGCGTGGGACATCCCTGGGGTGACCACGGCTCCTGGACATCCCTGGAGTGACCACGGCTCCTTCCATGTGGGACATCCCTGGACTGACCACGGCTCCTGGACATCCCTGGAGTGACCACGGCTCCTTCCATGTGGGACATCCCTGGACTGACCACGACTCCTTCCCTGTGGGACATCCCTGGGGTGACCACAGGTCCTGGACATCCCTGGAGTGACCACAGTTCCTTCCACGTGGGACATCCCTGGAGTGACCATGGTTCCTTCCCTGTGGGACATCCCTGGGGTGACCACAGGTCCTGGACATCCCTGGAGTGACCACAGGTCCTGGACATCCCTGGGGTGACCACAGCTCCTGGGCATCCCCAGAGTGACCATGGCTCCTTCCCTGTGGGACATCCCTGGAGTGACCACAGGTCCTGGACATCCCTGGGGTGACCATGGTTCCTTCCCTGTGGGACATCCCTGGAGTGACCACATCCAGGGACACACCCAGGGACATCCAGGGACATCCAGGGAAGGAGCTCCTGGCAGTGCTGTTCCTCAGGCTGTGGTGCTGCTTTCCTGGGAATGGGCAAAACCCATCCCTCTCCCGAAAAAAGGTGGGAATGGGATCAACTGGACCCTTTGGTGCCTCACCGGGCAAGAAGCACCAGGGAATTCTCTGCTGGGGAGGCTGAAATCTCCCTGGATTTCTGGGCCATTCCCACTTCACTTCCCCGGCCATGGAGAAACTGCCTGCTGGAAAACCCGCTGGATCTCCGGGATTTACGGAGGACAAAGTTCTTCCAGGAAAGAGCTCGGTCCCTGCCACCCCCGGCTGCTCCAGCTCCTCTCCAGATCGTGCCCCGCCCTCCCAGGCAATTTTTGGGGGGACCCAGCTCCATCTCCCCCCTCTTTCCCTGCTCCGTGCAGCTGCTCCCGGCAGAAGGAAAAACCCCCTCGCCACATTAATGCGTTTTGATCTCTGTGGATTCATTTCCACTTGGCGGGAAGAGGGAGAGTCGATTATTCCATCCATACATTAAATGGGAACAAAATGAAGAGGTGACTGTAGGACGGCTGAAAGCCGAAGAAAGAGTTAGGAGGAGATAAATACACTTTCCCCAAAGATCTCCACTTGAAAGGAGGATAAATATATGCAAATATGCCCCTAGGTAGGACTAAAATGACTTGTGTAGCAATCACTAACACTGCGCTCACAAAACCAGGCAATTAATTTCGGAATATTTTCTAAATCACCGCAGCCGGCTGAGCTGGATCCCGACATTCCAAACCCCGTTAAATTTGCGGATCCAGAGGGTGCTTGGCGCTTCCCGCACCTGGGAAACCTCTGCGCCGGGTGGCTGCGGCTCCTCGCACCCAGCAGCGTTCCCGGATGGGTTTTGGAGCAAGCTGGAGCTTTGTGGTGGGGTTTGGTGGGTGGGGGGTGATCCCGAGGGTGCTGGAGGTGTTTTCCAAGCCCAGCCATTCCCCCAGCCTCCCCTGAGGTGATCTGGAGCGCAGCCCTGGCTCTCTCCGCCGTAACCGAGGCCGTGAGCGAAGCCTCCGGTTGGATTTTAGGGGGATTTGAGGTTGATGAACCTGGAGCTGCTCCCCAGTCTGGCCACTCCTGGGTGTTCATCCCCTTTCCAGGAGCCGAGGGGAGCGGTGGAGGAGCTCCCACAACCCCGCAGCTCCTCCAGAAACAGGCGGGCTGCTGCCAGGGAGTCACAAAATCCCAATTTCCTACCCCAAATCTCCGCTGGAAAACGCGCGGAGAGCCAGGAACGAGCCCCGCGCCTGAATCCTGCATTCCCTACATCCCACCAGACCCTTCCAGAGCGGTCCCAAAGAGCAACCAACCAACCCAGGAATGCCAGCGGCGCCTTCCCGCTACTTCCAACAGCTCGGGGCGCGGGGAAGGGGCCGGGGACACGGCAGGTGACATGGAGATGAGCGCCTGTGCCCTCACGCTGCCCTGCTCCGCCGGATGGATGGGAAGCCACCACACACCGACGATGGAGAGGGCTCGGGGAGGTGCCGGGGGTGGGATGGAGCCGGGAATGCGATGGAGCGGCGGTAAAGAGGAGGAGGAGGAGGAGGAGGAGCGGTGGGAAGTTGTTACCTGATTGTTCAGGGCTATGGTGAGGTTCCAGCGGGAGCACTGCATCTTGTTTTGGGCACCCTGCTTCTGTAGGGATGTACAAATCACAGACAAGGTCTGAGGAAAAGGCTCTAAGCTACGCGGAAAGAACGGGAAGAGGAACGGCTTCGGAGCCGGTGCTCCGGGAAGGAGCAGCAGGAACCCCACGAGGGAATCGGAAGCGCCACGGGGTCAAGCGTCCACTGAGGGCTCTGAGAGATCCCCTGGGAGAAGCGGGACTGGGAGGGGAAGAGAGGGAATTACGTTCAAAGCTGCTTGGTTGGTGAACACGAGCCATGGTTCCCGGCTTGGGACACCAAATTGTGCCCTGGGACACCAAATTCTGGTCTGGGACACCAGACTGTGCCCTGGGACACCAAAATGTGCTCCAAAACATGAGCCATGTGACACCAAACTCTGCCCTGGGACACCAAATTCTGCTTTGGGCCACCAAACTGTGCCCTGGGACACCAAACTGCTCCAAAACACAAGCCATGGGACACCAAACTCTGGTCACAGACACGAGCCGTTGTCCCCAGCTTTGGGACACCAAACTCTGGTCGCAAACACAAGCCATTGTCCCCAGCTTTGGGACACCAAACTCTGGTCACAGACACGAGCTGTTGTCCCCAGCTTTGGGACACCAAACTCTGGTCACAAACACGAGCCATTGTCCCCAGCTTTGGGACACCAAACTCTGGTCACAAACACCAGCCATTGTCCCCAGCTTTGGGACACCAAACTCTGGTCACAGACACGAGCCACTGTCCCCGGCTTTGGGACACCAAACTCTGGTCACAAACATGAGCCACTGTCCCCGGCTTTGGGACACCAAACTCCGCTGTCCCCTGGAGAAACGCAGGAAGCAAAGGCTTGCCCAGGCTGGATCACCAGGGAGGAAACACAAAGATGTTTCGTGGTGAGGGGGCTGGGAGAGGCCAGCGGGGTCCCAGGTTATGGAGATGGATTCCACCGACCAGGAAACCCCGGGAGACAGGAGCTCCTCGCTCCCAGAACCCCGAGAGGCTCGAGCCCAGAGCTAAACAAGCTCCTCAACACCCCAAAACTCTCACAGGGCTCCGGTTTCCCGGCGCTGCTGGACAGCTCCCCTCAGAAAACGGGCAGTCTTTGCTTTGCCACCCAGAGCACCACGATTTGTCTTGTGGCACGTCAGCTCCGAGCGTCTTCCCTGATTTCATTGGGATTCAGAGATATTTTATGGACAAAAACCAGGATTGGGCCCGGCCTCCCCTGATTTTTGGCGCTGCTCAGCAAGAGGAGCTGCCCCGGCCTCCTGATTTTTGGGTCACCACAAGCAAACTCCATCCTGGCACTGCTTCCATCCTCCACGTGTTTAATCCTGCGTTTCTCCGTGAATCTTTTGGAAGGGAGAGTCCCGGTGGGAAAATCCCCCTGGTGGAATAGGGAGAGTCCCCGGGATGCTTCACCCGAAGGAGAATCCCAGCTCCCAAATCCAAGGAAACGCCTTTCCCAGCCCGGCACGGCGCTCTCCCTCCGGAGCCCTCGCTGCTGCTGAGGAGCACTGCGGGCTCCCAGGAGCTGCTGGCTCGCCCCAAACATCGCCCTCCGAGCCCAGAAAACCGGGAATCGCCGATAAAGGAACTGTGTCCATGACAGAGCAGAGTCCGGTGGATGCGGTGGGGAAAAAAGCGGGGAAGGAAGAGGGATCCTTGCTGAAATCCGGGATGAGGGAGCGGCGGCCCTGGAGCTCAGCTGTTCCAGCTCAAACACCTCTTCCCCCGCTCTGCTCCCTGGCCAGGCTCTTCCCTTCTCTCCAGAAAGGGCCATTCCCAGGGAAAAGAGGGAAAAGAGGGAAAAGAGGGAAAAGGAGCCCTTTTGTGTTCCCCGTTTGCCGCCACCTTCACACAGCCTGATCCAAACAGCTCCAGCTCCATCCTCTTCCCAAAGAGGAGCCTGGGGACACTTGGGGACACTTGGGGATCTCCGGGCAGGACAGGCACTGCCCGAGGCTCTCTCTGAAACCCCGCAGCTCATCCCGGCCCCTCAGACGGGAGAAACCCGGCAGGATTCACTGCCCCCCACCCCAAATTCTACCCTGCCCTAAACTCCGAACACAACGCGGGGTTCGGCTCCAAACACCCCGGTGTGACCGGCCAGGAATTGCGGATGGTGGGGATAAAACCCGCCAGGATCGGTTAAAAACGGCGCAGGCACACAAAGAACAGAACAAAATCTTTCCCCCGCAGCGCTAAGAAAGCCCCGGGGGAGCGGGGTTTAGATGCTATCGCCCCCCGAGCCCTCCGGCTCTCCAAAAGCCGCTCGGATGGAGTTTTCCTGCCGAGTTCGAGGTGCTTACTTAAGCAGGGGATGAGATTAATCCCTCCCCGGCTCTCTGGGCTCTGCCGTACCTGGGCTGGCAGCGCCAGCCTGGCTGAATTCCCGGTGATTATTTATTTGTGTGCTCATCACAAACCTTGGAACAGCGAGGGAGGGAAGCAGAAGATCTTGGGTTAAAAGCCTTACTCGCCGCTCTTTGAGGGCTCATTTTGAGTCTCTGGCCACCTCTGAAGGTGCTCCGAAATAAAAAAGATTTTGGAGTGACAAAGCAAAGCCACCGCGAAGCGCTCTGGAGCATCAGAACAGCAAAAAGCCTCTTTTTAAACCTTTTGTTGTTGTTTTTTTTTTTTGTTTCTTTTCTCACGGGCGCCATCGACGGCCTCGAACGGGGATTTTTTAATTTTTTTTTGAGGGGAAGAAGATGCCCTGATGGAACCTCATGGAAACCAAACCTTTTCCAAGGAAAAACAGCCCCGCATCCAGCGGGCGGGATCCGCGGCGCATCCCTCGCCCTCCCGCACAAACCCGCTCACATCCCGACCTCATTCCTTAACCCCACAACTCCCGGCTGAGATCTTTTAGGAGCATCTCTTGGTCCAAAACACGCCAAAAAAAAATCGGCAAATCCTCTCTCTGTGCCAGTCCTGGCTGCGGTGCCAAGGGCAAGGAGCTGCCACTCCCTCGAAGGCTCGAGCGGAGTTTTGGAGGCATCTCCCAAAAAAAAGCACGCAGGGCTCTGCCGATCCCGAGATAAACGCCGGAAAAGGGATTAGAGCTACTTAGCGGAGGAGAGGGAAGACTCAGGAAGGGCCGATCATTTTAAAGATACGACTATTTAAAGATAATGATTGCATAAATTTAATTAATGCATTTTCATGCCGCAAATGGCCGTTTTGTAATTAATGTATCTGGCCTCGCTAAGCATGGGAGATCACATCTCCCGCCCCCTCCCCTCGCGAGCCCCCCTCCGCCTCCCGTTTAATGAAAGACAGAGAGCAGATGACAGAAACAATTTGTCAGCCCGCGCGGGTGTCAGATGCCTAATTGGTTGCGCTGAGTTAGCGGGAAGAGAAGGGGGAGAGGGTCGGGGTTGGGGGGGCTCTTCCCTCTTTATCCCGAGCTCCGGGCTGGGTGTCCGCGCCGGGGCCGGGGGGAGCGAGGGGAGAAAGTGTTTGGTGTTAATTGATGGCGATTAGGACACAGATNCTTGTCACCGCCGAGCCTCCGCTGCTGGCGGGGGGACAGGGACAGAGCTCCAGGCCAGGCTGCTCGCTGCCGGCCTGATGGCAGCTCGGGCACAGCCCGATCGCAGCCTGATCGCAGTCTGGTCACAGCCCGGTCACAGCCCGATCGCAGCGTGATCCCATCCCGATCACATCCTGGTCACAGCCCGATCACATCTCGGTCACAACCTGGTCACATCCTGATCACATCCCGATCACATCCCGGTCACAGCCCGATCACATCTCGGTCACAGCCTGGTCACAGCCTGGTCACATCCTGATCACATCCTGGTCACATCCTGATCCCATCCCGATCACATCCCGGTCACAGCCCGATCACAGCCTGGTCACATCCTGATCCTATCCTGATCACATCCTGGTCACAGCCTGGTCACAGCCTGATCCTGTCCTGATCACATCCCTGTCACAGCCCGATCACATCTCGGTCACAGCCCGATCACAGCCTGGTCACAGCCCAATCGCAGCCCGATTGCAGCCCGATCCCATCCTCATCCCATCTTGGTCACATCCTGATCCCATCCTGATCCCATCCTGATCACAACCCGATCACAGCGTGATCCCATCTTGATCCCATCCTGATCCCATCCCGGTCACTGCCCGATCACAGCCTCATCTCATCTCAGTCACAGCCCGATCACATCCTGATCCCATCCTGATCTCATCCTGACTCCATCCCGGTCACATCCTGGTCACATCCTGATCCCATTGATCCCATTGATCCCATTGATCCCATTGATCCCATTGATCCCATCCTTCTCCCATCCCACTCCAGGCTCGGATCCCAGATCTGCTCCCACCCTCCGGCTCAGCGAGGAGCCGGGACCTTGGCACAGGATTGGGGAAAAGCTGAGCCCAGCCCGGGTTTTACCACCCTGAGCCTCTCCCTGCCTCACTACGAGCCGGCCCTAAACCCGAGATTAAGTTAGGGCAGAGTCAATGTGTGGAGCGGCTGCTGCGGGGGCTTTGTGGGTGCCTCTACACAAATTTTGGGACTCCGGGGAAGAGCTGAACCCCAAAAACCAGAGCCCAGTCCGGGTTTTACCTGCCCTGAGCCCTGCCAGCCTTTGCACCTGAGAGATGCTGGGAAAATCTCCGTGTCCCGCCTGCTCCCGTTCCCGCCTCTCGTCTTAAACCCGAGATTAAGGCCGAGCGGAGTTAATGTATGGAGCAGCTGCTGCCGGGGCTTTGCGGGTGCCCGCGGGTCAGCAGCAAAGCCCCGCCTGATTAATTCTGCCCTGGTCATTATGTGAGGAGGAAAAACCTCCTGTCCGCACAGGGAAAGGGAATCTGGAGCTCCTGGATGGGGAGAGACCCTCAAATCCCGGCAGGCGCGGTCCAAAGTACCATCAGGAGCAGGAATTGGGCTCGTTTCTGGAATGTTCTGACCTTTTCCAAGGGGTTTGAGCTGATTAAAGCGCTCATCACCGGCAGCGGGTGCGGCAGCTCGCCCCTTCCCCCAGAAAAACCAGGAAGGGCAAAACTCAA